AACTTTGCTGCTGCTGAGTCCAACTTTGCTGCTGCCGAATCCAAGTTTGCTGCTGCTGAATCTTCAACTTTGCTGCTGCTGAATGTTCAACTTTGCTGCTGCTGAGTCCAAGTTTGCTGCTGCTGAATCTTCAACTTTGCTGCTGCTGAGTCCAACTTTGCTGCTGCTGAGTCCAACTTTGCTGCTGCCGAATCCAAGTTTGCTGCTGCTGAATCTTCAACTTTGCTGCTGCTGAATCTTCAACTTTGCTGCTGCTGAGTCCAACTTTGCTGCTGCTGAATCTTCAACTTTGCTGCTGCACAGGTGGAGGGCCGCGAAATCCCAATTGTTCACCGCGTTCTTAATCTCCACAAAAACGCCGCAGGAGAAACTCGACTCCTCACGAAGGGCGACAACAACTCCGTAGACGACAGGGGCCTCTACGCCAGTAAGCCGCCTCCCCCAGCTAAAACTCTGGTCACTAGGGGCCCCCAAGGGCCCCTAGGGGCCCCCAGGGGCCCCCAGGGGCTCCCAGGGGCCCCCAGGGGCTCCCAGGGGCCCCCAGGGGCCCCTAGGGGCTCCCAGGGGCCCCCAGGGGCCCCCATGGGTCCTGCAGGAGCCCCCCAGCGGACCCCCGGGGGGCCCGTGGGGGCCCGCCCTGGGGGGCTCCTGGGGAACTCCTGGGGTGCTTTGGGGGGCCCTTCTGGGGCCCCAAAATGGACCTGTGGGGGCCCCCGGTGGGCCCCAGGGAGCCCCCCGAGGGCCCCCAGGGAGCCTCCCGGGGCCCGGTGGGTACCCATGGGGGGCCCCCTGGTGACCCCCCCGGGGTTCGCGAGCGAGCTGGAGGGATTTGTGTGGGAGGGTTTTTCTGTTTGTGAATTCAGACAAAGACTTGTGGCTGAAGGACAGCAGCGTGATGGGCACGACAGTAATATACCTTCCCTACATTGGTCAAGTGACCATTATCTTGAACGACTACCCAGTGGTCAAGTGGGCCATTATAGGCAGCATGGTGATCCTTGCGCTTCTGGGCTACGAGTGACGCGGGGGCCCCCAGGGGCCCCCCGGGGGCCCCAGGGGCCTCCAGAGGCCCCCCGGGGCCCCTTGGGCCCCCCAGGGGCGCAGCGGGCGTCTAGAGGCCCAGAACTGCTCGAGACTTTCACTAAAAGGGGCCTCTTTTGCCTGCAGGAAGAGGCAGCAGGGGCCCCAGCCTCTGCTGCTAAAGGCGGCGCTTTTGCCGGAGGCTGAGACAGCGTTTTTGCTGCCTTCTGTGCCTCTCGAGGCTCAGCAAAAGCCCCGACAAGGGAGCCCCCCGCGCAGCTGGAGACTGCCGGAAAGCCGCGGGCCGCGAGAGCTCTTGGCCAGTTAACTATTGAATTGCTGGCGGGGAGTTGTGGCCCCAGAGGCAGCCAGGCTGCTGTGAGGCGTGTGCAACAAGTTGCTGCTGGGTGGCGACAAACAGCTCTACGCCAGAAGCTATTTTAAAGATATGAGTGCGCTGTGCTGCCGCCTGCACGGGCTCTCGCCTGGCAAGACAAGACGCATTTTTCGTGCACGCTTCCCTCTTTAGGAGAATCTATTTCAACTTCAAGAACAATCACTCTAAGGCGCAGCTGGGAATCCTGTGAAGGCGCTTCTTTCTACCCTAAATTGCCCTTTTGGGTACACTTTCGCGCAAAGCGAGCATTTCCTATTTTGCTTAGAAGCGTCGAGTGCGCGTCGACTTTCTTGCACGCACTCTGTGCAATAAATATCGTTTTGAAGTTCCCAGTAGTTGTTTTCATAGAAGTCCCAGTTGCAATTGCGCGGAAGAGGCAGGTAGTGCAGAAGGATTTGCAAGGCTAGTTCGTGTGTCTGTACACCCGAGGCGTTGCCGCGAGCGGAGCGCCTCAGGGCAAATTCAGTGCAGCGCACCTTCGACATGCAAGTCGAAGGGAACTGAAATGATTAAAAAGGAGCAGAAAAGCTGTCATGTTTTGTTTCCTGCTGCTTTCTGCGCTGCTGCTGCCCGCCTGGGGCGGCAAGCGGCGGCGGCGAATGCAGCGCCACGCTGCAGCCCTCTCTCGCCCAGGCTCTGCAGGCGAAGGCCCGCAGAGCCCTTCGGCCATTTCCGGCAACTGGGGGCCCCCGGAGACGCAGCAGAAAGCCCCTTCTTTGCCCCCTTTCGGGAGCCTGGCTGCGGAGCTGCAGCAAGAGCTGGACGCCGCGCAGCAGCACCTGCTGCGGTTTGCCCAGGTTTTTGAACTAGTAGGAAGTGCTGCTGGCGACTCGCCAGCAGCAGACCCTCTGAAGATCCGGCCAGTGTCTTCGGTGGGCAGCAAAGCTCTCGGGAACTTTTTGAACTTGGAAAAAATTCCAATTTTTTCTCGAACTTTTTGAACTTGGAAAAAAACTCCAATTTTTTCTCAGGAGGTCCGGAGGGAAGTGGAAGCTGCCCGCGAGGCCCACACGGAAAATGATGACTTCAATGACTGGTGAGTCTTTTCTTTTTTTCCAAAATCCAAAAACTCCATTTCCAACTTCAGGGATCTTGGAGAACACCGAGATGTTGCTCTTAAGAACGAGCACGCTCTCCACCCTCCCCCCCCGCCTGCTGCTGCGCGCTTTGCTGCTGCTGCGCGCTTTGCTGCTGCTCCGCACTTTGCTGCTGCTCCGCACTTTGCTGCTGCTGCGCAGCTTGCTGCTGCTGCTGCCCGCAGCGCTGCAGCAGAGAACGCGCAGTCGGGGGCTTCTTCAGCAGCTGCTGACGACCCCTGCTGAGCCAGCGGGGAGGCTCCGCCACCAGCAGCAGCTACTGCAGCAGCGGCCACTGCAGCAGCAGCCACTGCAGCAGCAGCCACTGCAGCAGCAGCTGCTGCTGCTTCTGCTGCTGCCCTTTGCTGCGGAGAAGGTCTTGAGGCCGTCGGCTGCGCACTGCAGCTGAACGATTCTGCAGCAGCTGCGCAAGCCTGGGCAAAGCCGCGCCTTCACTGCGGCCTTTTGCTGCTGCAGCAAAACTGCATGCATGCGTTGCTGCTGCAGCAGCAGCAGCAAGGGGGCCCACAAGGGCCCCCGCTCAGTCGCCCAGTTCGTCTTTGAAGTCGTGCAGCTGCACAGACAGCGCAGGCCACAGAGTTGAGCCTAATGCATTTAAAGTTGGAAAGATTTTGCTTTTGCTGCTTTTTGAAGAAAAGAAAAAACTATTTATTTATTTATTTGACAAAATAAATAAAACATACTGCTGCAGTCGCTCGCAAAAAGAAAAGACTCTTCGGGACGTCGTCGGAGCTGCTGGGCTCGCGGTCTTGTTGCCAGTAGCTGCGCAGTCAACAGCAGCAGCAGCAGCAGCAGCAGCAGCAGCAGCAGCAGCAGCAGCGGAGCGTTTTCGCCGTTCTCAGCCAGCTTCGAGAAGACTGCAGGGAAAGAAAGGAAGCAAAGTGAGGGGGAATTGGCTCACGTTATTTTGTCAAATGCTGCTAAGGGGCGGAGCGAAGTGACCCTAATGGGGGGCTCTTCTGCTTCAATAAGAGAATCCTCTTCAGCTGTTGCAGCAGCAGCAGCAGCAGCAGCACTCAGCAGCAAAGACTTCCGGACCTCCTGCTGGCTGCAGCTGGCCTTCTGGGCTGCCACGAGGAAGCCCTGCAGCTGCGGGGCCTCTGCTGCTGAGCAGCGGCTGTTGGCCAGCGGCTCTTCCTTGCCCCGGAGCCAGCGGCCGTGCAGCAGCACTTCGAGCTGCCCATCTGCTGCAGCAGCAGCATCTGCTGCAGCAGCAGCTGCTGCTGCTGCAGGCTTCACGCGTCTGGGCTGAAAGTGCTCAGAAACGGAGGCCAAGCCGCTGTACTTGATGTGGCACGGCAAAAGATGCACTCCCTGCACACCTTCCAACGCTGCAGCAAGAAGTTCCCCCGCATCTTGTGCTTCATCTAAATTGTTTCCTTCACCTTTTTGTGCAAAAGAAGAGGCCGCGTCGAACGCAGAGTTGCCAGACACGTGCGCTATTGCGTTCTCAACGGCGTCTGCAAACATTCTGGTGAACCATCTACGATTCGCCAGCAAGATCTGCGAGATCGCACTTCACAAATTCGCTAAATTTTCTATTTTGAATTAATTCGCGTTTGAAATAGTGGGAGAAGACAAAGAAGACCGCTTCGCGCGGCAAGGGGCCCCAGGTGGTGGCTCTAGAACAACACCTCACCACCTCCCACGAGAGTGTTGAAACCTTCTCATCTTCGCACGACGAAGTAACACTGAGAAAAAATAAAATTAAAATTCAATTCGCATGTGACTTCACGAGAAAAATGATCTAAATGGGCGCAGTATTCCGCAGAATTGCGCAAAAGAGCATCTCAACAGCGGCAACACATCAGTCAACCCAAGGGCCAGGCGGAGGCAACCCTTCTCCGTTGACTGCATTAACCTCATATTTCGAGTTCTAAATAGTTTAGTGCACTTCTAAAGGCTTTTTTTCCAAGTCTGAGTATCATATTCAGCGTTTCTACGCGAAGCTGCGCCGCGTGGCGAGTGGTGGCTAACCCCCCTAGTTCATAGTTAAGAAGTGCGCAGCCAGTGAATGAGTTTATGTTTTGGGCTGCTGCCAGTGCACAGCGAAAGCGGAGGGGCCCTGAGGGCCATTTGCCCTCTCAGCGCAGCAAAGATGCCTCTTTGAAGCAGCGCTGCGTCTCTTCAAGGAAGCTGCCGACGCCGACAGCAGAAAGTGTGGAACATATGTGGGGCCTTCGATCCCCCAGCCTGCATTAGAAGTTGTTATTGTGTGCAGCAAGTTGAGACTGCGGCAGATCTGCACTGCAGGCACTCAGCGCACTCTTCGCACACAGCGAATGTGAAATTCGCCTCGGAGCTTGTCTTGTGTTTGCCATTCACAATTACCCAGGGCACATAGTTGTAAGACTGTCTCCTCGAGAACTTTCCAATAGATTTCCTGTAAGACCCAAAGGCAGTTTCCCAGCAACTCAGCACAGCCCAAGTGCCAGTGCAGCTTTTGTCGCCTACAGCAGAGCCGCCCCTTCGTCTCCCTGAAAGCAAGCTGGGCAGCGAGTTGAGAATTAAAAATAGTGTTTCAAAGCAACTCGGGGGGAATTAATTTTATTTCTCAAAAACTGACCTGCTATATTCCCCTTCTGATTCCCAGTGGCTGACAAGCAGTCTCGCCACCGGCCGTCCGCGGTGCTGGCGAGCTGCTCAACGCTAAAAGTGCGGAGAATCAGCGCAAAAAAAGAAAAAGAAAATTCCAATTTGATTATTTTGTTTTTTTTCAGTCGAATTTGGAGGAAACTCTCCTCCCACTCGGTTCCTCACCATTCGATGAAGGCCAGACGGCTCTCTGGCTTCCCGTGCAACTTCTTGATCCCGCATGCAGAAAGGGTGTTCCTAAATTTAAACGAAAATTCCGAAATGCCCGCGAAACTCCCTAAGTGGAAAGTGCAGGAAAGCTGTAGGAGTCGAGACTCACAAGCGACACTCTTCCACGCCGTGCTGGCACTCCACTATGCCATCCTTTTCAGTTGCATTCCCTGGGGAGTTCGCCACTTGCTGAAATGCTTGAAATAGAAGAAAAAACAAATTACCGTATGGGTAGAGGTGCAAGTGCACGAACTTTCCCAGTTCCGATCGCATGGCCCTCGCCACTTGGCCTGTCAAGTACTGGTGGCCGCAGCCCAGTGTCAGTGCGACTTATCGACGCAAGAGGAAAGCAAAGAGCTTAGTAATGCCTCACACTTTTGCAAAACGGGCACAAAGCCTCGTAGCTGTTCTCCCATATTGGTCGCACAGCTGACAACTCCTCTCAGGCATATTCTGAAAAATTCAACTTACAGAATTTCCACTTGAACGGGCGAAGAGCGCAGCATTCGCGGCTCTTTCCCGCGCCTAACTTGGCGCATTCTCCATCTGCTGCGATGTCCATCGGCTGTCGCGAAAATTGCTGCTAGGCAAAGGATTAGCAGCCAAGAGTGTGCAGCAGCCATTTCGGAATGTTGCGGCGTTTCGGCAGCAGCAAATGGGGAGCACGAACGGCTCGCTGCTGTCAGTGAGTGCACGGGAGGCACAGAAGCAGCAGAATGCCAACAGAAATATTTTTTCGGAGTAAACTCTATTACGCGGGATCTTAAGTTCTACAATTCGACAGAGAAGCGCAAAGCGCTGGGCTGCCAGATTCTACTGCTAAGCATACACCTAAGCACCTGCGGAGTTATCAATGTGGTCACTGAGGGAAACATCTGAATGCATTCTAGAAATGTAGAAACTTCAATCCCTTCGGCTCAAAATAAACAACAGTTCAGTCTTCGCCTAAAAACAACTGAAGCTCTGCGCAGTGGAGAAAAGCGATAGCTGCCTCGAAGAGCAGCAGCAACGCCCGCCGGCCTTCTCCAGATTTTCCAGTTCTACACAGCAGTCCCAGCACAGTTCAATAATGCCATACATTTAAAACGCCTGGTGTGCATGCAGCACCTGAGTCCATGCAGCACTCCCCTGAAAGACTGTTCAAGTCCGTCTTGTTGCGATTGGTAGGCAAGCTGGCAATGTACAAAGTGCTTTGGAAGCTTTCGTTCAAGAACTAGCGGCGCCGCCGTGGAAGTACAGTTCGCCCACGGCGGTGAAGGCAGCAAAGGACAGGAAGCAGATCCCTGGAGGCACCGGAAAGCAGCAGAAATCAGCAACACCTCCAAATCTGCACAAATATGGCCACGAGTGAATGCCTAGGGCCGAACGGGGGGCAATCGCTTGTGCGCAGAAGAGAAAACGCAAGTGCTGCTGCCTTGCAAAACTTAAAGAGGAAAGCCTCTGCAGCAACGCAGCACTGGCGTCTGCTGCTGCTGCCCAGGGGTGCTCTGCGCGTGCATGCTACTGGCCCAAAAGGGGCTTGTCAGGGCTATAAATGCAAAGCTGCAGCAAACTGTCTTGTGCTGCAAATGAGGCGAACCTCCGAGCACCAAAACTACACGCTCTGATATCCTTTTCGCCAAGACATTTCCCCCGACGACTGCCAGAGCGGTGCACAGCCCGTGGCCAAGAATTGCGCCTGCAGCCAATTCACAGCAGCGCAGCTTCCCCTTGTTGTCTCTTTTCTCATTGTGCATGCGCGAATATTTTTAAATATATAGGCCAGCAAATATAACTAAAATGCCTCCAGAGTCGCACCAAGGCACACAGCAGACGCGCTCCTGTCGGCCGCAAGCGCAAAAGTTGCGAGTTGTGAACGGTCGCCCCACTCCGCCATAAGGGTCAAAGACGCAGCCTAGTGCGCAAAAATCAGAGACCTTGCTATTTAATTTGTGCAAAAGTGACAAGCAAAAGCACTACTGCTGAGAAAAACAGGGCTCGGGCAGAGGAAACGAGCGGCAAAGGTGAAGAGGGTGGTACCTGGATGAACACCGGACTGAAAAAACTGCGAGCAAGGACAAACAGCCGAGACTGGCTCATAGATTCTTCGCTTTGAGCCAAGTCCTTCAGCTCCTCTGCAGCGAAAAACACCCAACACCTTAAAAGCATAGAGGCTCCCCTGCCGAATCCGCCATTGAAACAGAGCCAGAAACCGCAGTATAGGGCTCACAAAACACAATCTTTGTTCCCTTCCGCTTTTTCAGTGCACTGTGCATGTGATAGAGGGAAAAATTTGCAAGATTCAACACAAACAATTGGCCTCCAAAGCTCCAGGTTCTCACCCGGCTCGTCGGAGTTTTCTTCGTAGACCGCCGCCTCGTGCAGCATTTTGGCGCCGAAAATAACAAGCAAACAGACCATAAAAATAGTGCGTAGTTCTTGTTTAAGCAACAAAGGCAGCACTTGTCCTCCTGCGGCAGCCATGAGGGTCATCACCACAAGTGCGAGAAACCCTCCGGCGAAAACATGCCAGCGGCTCCCTGGCCGCTTTTCATTTGGACGCAACTTCTTAGAGCTGTCCACCTTGGTGCAGCGCATGGAAAGGACTGCCGTAATTAAAAAGGTCTGCGTCACGCACAAAAACGGCACTGGCCCATCTGCTCCCAGCTGTTCTTGAATGTGCCCCCGCAAAAGTGGAGAAAGCGCTGCGCAAAACAAATGCCGACGGCTACGTCGCCACATACAAGTCTAAATTTTGACTGCTCAGATTTCTAGATTAGTCTTAGGGAGAGACAGGCTGCTTCTGGTGCTCCTTTACCTTATCGCCCAACTCCGAGCAAATGATCATAAACAAAGTGCCCACGAAGGCAGAACCCCAGCTAATGTCGCTCTCTGGCACTGGCATTACCTGCCCCGCGGATGCCTTCGCGGCTTTCAAAAAGAGAACTCCGCAAATAAGGGCTAGGCCTTTCATGGTGGCCAGGCGGAAGGCGTGGGAGAGAGTGTTACTTCTCGCCATTGCCGCAAGGGTGCTGCGGCTCGCGCTAAGCAAGAGCCACTGATCCCCTCAGGCGCCAGCGGGCAAAGTTCATTAGAGTTTGCTGCTGGGCAAGAAGGCTATACCACTCCAGCCTGCAGGAGGTTGAAGAATTCGTCACTCAAGAAGTGACCCGGCACACTGCACAGCAGTGCACCCGACTCAGAAGAAGTGCCCACTACAGTAGTGAACGTGAATGGAAGTTCTCTGCGAGGATAAGTGGTCAAAGTCTAAGAAGGATAATCGCAATTTAATGGCAACCAAGACTGTTGGGGCTGTTGTTCGCCGTAGACTGTGCTCGGGGCTGAAATGCCCACAGCGAAACCATTTAATCCTTCCGTAAAGTATTGCCCTTTAGTGAAAGACATTTTATATCTTTTGTTTAAAATAACCGATTCCCATTACTTGTGAGGGAGGTCTGAGCGGCGCCGACGGCTAGCGGCCGGGCAATCCCATGCAGTGCAGCACCGAAACAAACCCGGGTGTGCCCAAATTTAAAAAAGAAGTAAACCTTTTGAAATACGGGCATAATCAAGCACCTTTTGCACTTGCATGCGCACCCCAATGGTTCTCGCTCTGTTATTCCGTACAAGTGGCGGAACGAAGAAGCATCCGCATTGCAGTTGGGAATCTTTGTTGTGGCTTACCAATTACTGCATTGCCCCGAAGCGTTGATTGAGGTACACTTTAGACCGGACCTTGCCAGTAGGAGGTCGGGGTGCTTTCAGGGGTTAATGAGGCTGTTTAATCCGCTTATAGACCTGTTACATTGTGCAGTTGACTTGGGGTGCCTGAGATGATGGCAGTAACATTGTGCTTCAGCCTTCTGCCTTTCTGAGTGCTTGATAATGGCCGAAAAATCTCTTTGGTGAGGGCTTACTTTCGCCGCTCATTCGTCTGGGGGCGAGTGGGAGGAGCTCTTGCGCTCCAAGACAGAGCAGGTTGTGCTGGGAGGCTATAGCCGAGCATTGTTTAGTCACATGGGAGCAATCAGCTGCGCAACAATCATCTACTTCTTGTTCAGCATGAAGTTAGGTGTTACTGGGCTACAGTCACATGGGCTTGGAATGCAACCGTTGGCACCACAGAAGGTGCTTTCGCAGTGTGTGGTTTCTTCGTCTTGGGATGACGAACTATAGAATTTAAAGTGATCCACTAGGAACAAGAACATACTTTTGTTTCTTGTGAAAAAGGTGAGCGCAGCCGCGTGGCTGCGCATACCAGAGGCGGCGTTTAAGCCTGCGCATTCATTCCAGAGGCAGAAAGATGGGACGGCAATTGCAGCCGCAGCAAAATGACAAAGAACAAAAACTCCCTCTTGAGAGACTTGTATGCATGACTGTTCTACTGACTGGAGCTTCGCAAGCCCTATGATGCATTCATACATGATTTCCTCCACCCACTCGAAGTGACGTATCCAGCGGCCTCAAGATACGAGCCATTCGGCACGATCTAGTGTCAGAAAGCATGTCAGATGCACTATTGTCCTTGTTTTCACAGGTGCACTTGGCATTAAGTGGGTGAGGCATTATTTGCGGCATTATTTGTGCCAGCAATGTGCTTTGTCCCAGCTCTGCAAGTGTAATACACTGCTCGGCTGCTCCCAGCCGCTCAAAGCCATGACTTTTTCTTGTGGTGGGGTTCTTGTTGAACTTGAAAAAGATATTAAACAAGCCTCTTATGCCCCAACCATGCCCCTCTAGTAGCACCCTAGCACCTTGAAGCTGTCATCTAAGCAAGGCGAGCAAGTTCAGCCATAAACTTTCTGCAATGTAGCTTCAACTTCGTGTGAGCCAAAACAGGCCAAAGCACCAGCACTATCGACCTGCACTATGCCCCGCAATAGACGCATCAAGCACGTTTCTAAGCAACCACTGTCTGTGCAGCTGCATGCAACTGGCCGGCAGGCTACTCACGACCACATGTGCTGCACCCCAGAGATTTGCCACTACTGTGTTGGCTAGGCACTGGCACAAGCAACAGCCCAACTGACTTTGCTAAACTGTAACTGTCCGTTGCGTTGCTGCTGGCAGTCACCGGCCTCTCGCGAAGAGGAAACACAAACTTCTCGTGGCGCGAAATGCTGTACTAAAGGGGGAGTAAATGGAAATCAGATTACAGATCTCCAGTGTCTTAATAGCCTATAGCAGAGCTGGCGTTGTGGGAGCTGTGACAAGCCTAGCCTCCCAGCGCGCATGTAGATCTGGCCAGCAGATCAAGCAGTTGGAAGCAAAACTCCTAATAAATAATGATATTGCTGATGGAAAATGGCCTACTAACGAGCCACCAACACCGCACGGCGCTATCTTCAACAAGAATACCATTTATGCAGACAAACACCTGCGACCCTCGTGTCACTATAGGCTCTGTCTTGCAGCCATCACAAGCTGTGCTGCAGCCTCATGTGCATCATTTCTGCAGCTCAATGGGCAGCTGTGAACGCGGAGTTCTTGGTGTTGGCCTGCCTAAACTAGCTAATCGTAAGTTGCAGTTGGCTTCCTTTCTGAAACATCTCCATCTTAAGCGTTTTGGGCTCTCAAAACAGTTTCTATCAGTACAAAGTATCCCGTTGGCTATGAATTGCATGCAGCCAGTTCGTTGGCACGCAGCCGGCTCCTTGGCGCTTGCTGAGTTCCGCCCAACCCCAACACTAGTGGTGCATCCCGCAGCGCCCGTCGTCTCTCTCCGCACATGCAAAATTGAAATGTTGAAACGATTTGAGAGGTTGTGGGTATCCACTGGGCATGGGAAAATAGTAGAGAAGGCTGTACGCGGGCAATGGTTGCTGAGAAACATGCGTGATGTGTCGTACTGCGGGGCATAGTGCACGCCGATAGTGCTCTAGGGGGAACTACAAATGGATCTGAGCGCATTCGATGAAAGAACTTTAATGAACTTTCGTGAGGGTGTTTACTTTGATCGAGCTGAGTGACCAGGATCGGGGATTGGGGCTGTTATCGCCCCAGCTGTTTGCTGCGGGGTCCAGCCTTTGCAACAGAGACCACTTCAATATACTCTCCTTTTGGAGCTCTCATCTAACGTACATCGATCCTTTCCGATTATCTAGCGCTTTAAGTTGCTTTTTTGCTTAGAAGAAAGTTTAGTAGACACTAGTAGATCCAGTCAGGCTCTATGCTGGTGCTGGTGCACTCGACCATTCCAGGGTCCTCGATTCATCTGCTCACCATTTAAACATGGCTATTTTGCTAGTCCTGATCTTGCTCAGAAGATAAAAGAAGAATTGGCTATGCATAAAAGGGAAACAGAATACAACCCCACGGCGGAACAAAGTCCCGTTTAAAGCTGCCGAGCCACTTTGCTGCTAAGTAATATGCCTGATTTCTGTGTGCTGTCTCTGCTAGTCGATTCACGAAGCACTGATTTTGCAGAAAATTACATTGCAGCTAATAAAAGCATGCAATTGGCTGCGAGTTACTTCATATTTCTGATGACGTTTCGTGCAGTCAGCTCCTGTGGGTTGATACAGCCTCTCGGTTTTCAGGAATTTACTATTCACGTCCCTCTGGTAGCCAAATTCGGCCAATTCAATTCGAAACATGCACAAAGACCGTAAAAACTTCCTTTAAAACTTGTCTTGATGAATTCAACCTTATGAACCCATGCCTTTAACATGGAGTGCACTCAAAACAGTGGCTGAAACAGAAAATCTGAGGACTGCGTGTTCCGTGCATCGAGTTTTTAACAGTCTGAGGCGATTTTGGGCCACGACAGGAGTACAGTTGTTGAGGACTTAATAACATTTTATCGGGGGAAGGAATTTATGCGTATGTTTTCAATATTGAACAAGGCGAAGCACAATACAACTGCAGAACAAACCGTCGTGCCTATTTAAACCCCAGGAATCGCAGCAAGCCCGGTGAGGTAGCTTATCGACACACCACCCTGTAAGACACCATAAGCGTTTTTTGTGTTGAATGTAAATAAACATTTGTTTGTCTTTTAGCATTATAGTGGCCCTTGGGCGCCCAAGCCGCAACATCGAGTCCGCTCTCCGTTGCTTGCCCATACGCAGTTATCTTTACGTGCAACGGACTCTGTTTCGCCATCGCCTTCTTGCTTTCACAGCTTTTCACCTTTTAACCTGAGCAATACATCATTTGGACATTTTGCGTGGCTAATTTGGTGCTGTGGCGTTGTTCAGCGCTCAACGAAGTCGGCAACGGTTTCTGGAGACGTAAATGATTCTCCGGCATCGAAAAGCCGCCGTGCCTTTGGTTTGGCTTTGAACTTGGGATAGCTTTGTTTCGGGCCCACTTCAGGCCCATGAATACACCTTCGCAACTCGGAGATGGAGTGAGCGAAGTGCTCTGGAGAAGTCCTTGTGCAGCTGCCCAACCAGCTCTCAGAAGAGCGATGCATGCGACTGTCTGCCACTGAGGATCTAAGCCTGCGCCCAATGGAGATCTCCGCAGCTACTCAAGTGCAGGAGGCCCAAGACTCTTTCCCTGGGGCCGCTGCTCACGAGGCAGAGTCGGGGCTTGCCCCTGCGGAAGGCACTGGGGGCTTTCCTTCCGGAGAAGCTTCGCGCAAGTTTCGGCGCTCGTTCAAGAGCTCCAAGTTTTTTCTTTCCTACGGGCCTTTTCTGGCAGTCACGCTGAGCAGCTTGGCACTCACTTACGCGCTCTTGAGCTGCTTTTTTTCAATTCAAACGAGCCCCAAGGCGGGCGGGCTTGGCAGGTCGCTGGCAGGCGACCGGCGGCGGTCCTGTCACTGGGCTGTTGGCGCGGGAGAACGTGAAGACGGAGACAATGGCGCGTGGGGAGGCCGTGAGGAAGATGAGCGGGTGGAGAGTCCCCAGAGAGGGGAGGGCCCGGAGGAAAGGCCTCAGGCGGAGTCCGGGTATGGGGATTTGCCTCAAGGCGGCGCGGGACGGCAGAGAAGAGGGTCTTATCCCGGGGAGGACTTGGAAGTTCCAGGCCCCAGCTCAAGTTCCTACAATGAGGGGCCGTCGCAGCGCATCTCGTGGCCTCAGAGGGATTCAAGCAGCTCGTTTTCCAGTGCAGATTCCCCCCAAAGCGGACTGCAGCGGGTGCCCAGCGCAGGAGAAAGTTCTGCACCCAAGGAGCCTCCCCGCCGCAAAAACGACTGGCTTCATTTGAAGCACTTCGTCTCTTACGAAGGTTTGAATCTGGAGGAGGCCGAAACCATAATGTTTGGCCGGCCGACCTACGGCATTCAGGAACAACAGGAGTCGGATGAGGAGAAGGGGCTGAGCCTGTGGAACGGGCGGAACATGCCGAGCGCGGAAAGAGCGAAAGTCACGAGTTTATTCAAGTGGATGAGAGAGTCTTCGAGGCTGTGCAGGAGTCTGATGAATGTCTTGAGCACAGACAACATGCTGCAGCTGACGTGGGCGGTGCTGAGGATCCTGACGCTGGACGTGGCCACCCTGGCGCTCATTCCCAGGGATCTCGACGTGGCGAGGACCTGCACGGGCCAAGAAATCATGGAGATGGCGGATGCTGCGGTGGCGCGCGCGGAAAGCTGCAGAACCCACGGCTTTCTGGTGGGCCAGATTCTGGCAGTGAAGCGCGTCCTGCGGCTGGCCTGTTTGCCGCGGCCGCCCACGGAAGACCTGACCAGCCGAAAGCGCAAGTACAAAACGCGGACGCTTCTCGCCACCATGAAGGCCGTGGCGAACTACGTTTCTTACATTTTGTTGGTGCTGGCCAAGTACGCCACCGTGGCTCCCCGAGAGCGCCTCGAACAGGTGGTGGCCCAGCAGGTCACCGTGCTCGAGGCTTTGTTACTAGAGCACACGAACTACGTGGCCCGCGACCGAATTCTTCGCTACTGCATCGTGGACGCTCAGAGACGCGAAGGCGCGTGGCACGTGATCCCCTTCGAGCAGATCTCCCAGTCTTTCGAGCCGCTTCCTTCAGACGGAGCTTTGATTGCCATGCTCAACAATGCCGTGTGCAGGGCTGGGGGCCTCCCGAACTTGCCCGAAGTAACAGTGGGCCGTCTGGGCTTCAGCAGCGACCGCTTCCGGCCCGCTGCCTACAGTCATGTGCTTTCGCGCCCCGCTGAGTACTACACACAGGCGATCGTTGCGCAGCAGCAGCTGCAGCAGCAGCTGCAGCAGCAGCTGCAGCAGCAGCTGCCTTCCACCATGCCCGTCTGCTCTGCCGTGCAAGAGGCCTCTGCTTCCCTGCAGGAGGGGCCGCCCCACGGTGCTCCGCCTCCTCCCAGTTCTCATCCGGCTCTCCACCAGCACCTGCTGAAGCACCATCATATCCAGCAGCTCCAGCAGCTCCAGCAGCTCCAGCACCAGAAGCAGCAGCTCCAGCAGCTCCAGCAGCTCCAGCAGCAACAGCAGCTCCAGCAGCAACAGCAGCAGAAGCAGCTGCAACAACATCTGCAGCAGCTGCAGCATCAGCAGGAGCAGCTCCAGCAGCTGCAGCAGATGCAGCAAATGCAGCAGATGCAGCAGATGCAGCAGATGTTTCCGAGCCAGCAGCCCAAGCCACCGGTGCAGCGGCATGTGGCGGACCTGCAGGGCCTGCAGGTCCAGCCATCTTCGCAGCCGTTTCCACAAGTTGCAGCTTCACAGTCGCTTATTCATCTGCAGCAGCAGCTGCAGCGAGTTTCTCAGAAAATGTTCCAGCAGCAGCAGCTGCAGCCGACCCTGCAGCAACCTTCCCTGCAGCAGCAGCAGCAGCCAACTCTCCAGCAACCGTCCCTGCAGCTGCAGCAGCCAACTCTCCAGCAACCGTCCCTGCAGCTGCAGCAGCCAACTCTCCAGCAACCTCCCCTGCAGCTGCAGCAGACAGCTTTGCAACAATCTTCCGTGCAGCTGCAGCAGACAGCTTTGCAACAATCTTCCGTGCAGCTGCAGCAGCCAACAATGCAGCCAACTTCCGTGCAGCTGCAGCAGCCAACAATGCAGCCAACTTCCGTGCAGCTGCAGCAGCCAACTATGCATCCACCTTCAATGCAGCTGCAGCAGCCAACTGGGCATCCATCTTCCCTCCAACTGCAGCATCCAACTCTGCAGCAAGCTGCCCTGCAGCAGCACCAGCAACGGGTAGCCGCGCAGCCCACTTTCCAGCAGCAACAGCAACAGCCGCCGCTTCCGCAACATGCTGTCCTCCAAGAGCAGCAGAAGCAACAAACAACTCCGCAACAGTTTTTGCAGCAGCAGCAGCAGCAGCAAGAGCCAGTTATCCAGCAGCTTTTGCAGCAGCAGCAACAACAACAGGCAGTTACGCAGCAGCTTTTGCAGCAGCAGCAGCAGCAGCATCAACGGTCACTTATGCAACAGCTTTTGCAGGAGCAGCAGCAGCAACACCCAGTTTCGCAGCTTTTGCAGCAGCACCAGCAGCTGTCTTCTGGGCAGCTTACACATCAGCAACAGCAGCACCAGGGCGGAGTTCCGCGACATCTGTTACAACAACTGCAGCAGCAATTGGCTTCACAGGGGCATTCCCGGCCGCTCGCAGTTTCGCAGCAGCAGCAGCAGCAACAACAGCCAGCTTTGCAGCACATTTCCGAGGAGCAGCAGCGGTTGCCTGCTCATCTTCTTCTCCAGCAGCTGCAGCAGCAATCAGGTTCGCAACAGCCCCAGCGGCTGTGGCAGCCAGTTACGCAGCACCTTCCCCAACAGCAACAGCAGCCGCAGGAGCAGCAGCAGCCACCTCCGCAGCAAATCCTCCAGCAGCAACTGTGGCATACAGATCCGCGTCACTTTCCCCAGCAGCAGCAGCAGGGAGCTTCGCAGCCCGTAGCCCAGAAGGCGCAGCTAGCAGCGCCGGACTACTTGCAAGAACCCCAGCAGCAAGTCTCGCTGCAGGCTTTGCCGCAGAAGCCGCCGTCAGTGATCTCTTTGCAGGGCCTGCCCTCAACTGGCCTTCTGGCCCCCGCGGCCGGCGAGCCAACTCTCGCAGACCCGCCTGCAGCTGCCCAGCTGGGGACCCCAGCCGCAGCAGCACTGGGGGCCCCAGCCGCAGCAGCAATGGGGGCCCCAGCCGCAGCAGCACTGGGGGCCCCAGCCGCAGCAGCAGCACTGGGGCCCGCATCGGCACTGGGGCCCTCAATGCTGCTGACGCCGGGCCGGCCGCCACGGCCAAGTCCCGCGGCTTCGGGCCCGCAAGTGCAGCTGCTGGAAGGCACTTCAGGCGTTGCTGGCCAAGTTCCCATTGCCTACGGCCAGTTCGCCTCTTCGGATCCTTCGGTGGCCCCAGTGGGCACTCGGGTCTCTGCAGAAGCTGGCCAGGGGCCTCCAGCTTTCCCCTTCGACGTGGAAGGCCAATTCCCTGGCTTTCCAGGAATTCATTTCCCAATAGGCGAGCCTGGAGTCAGGGCCTACGAGCTCTTTGAGGACGGCAGTGGACAGCCGCCGTGGCTGTTGCCCCCCCTGGGGTCTACGCGCCCGGCTGAGTGGCCCGGCCAGCACCACAAGCCCAAACGGCTTTAGGGTGGAGTGCCTTGAGGCTCTTAGCTGGATACCCATTTACGGGAATATTAGCAGTTGAGGTGTAGCCCTTGAAGTCAGTCCAAGGAGGCAGCAGAGCAGGCGCCAGCGGGACACTTGCAACGTGCGGAAGCACGCTTTTTAAATTGTTAGAGTAGGCTCTATAGCGAGCTTTTGCTTTACAGGACTTCACCTCAGGGGTGCATGTCCTAGTATCTGGATCATGGTCGCAGCAGCCACCCGAACCACACGTTTTTTTACGTGGTTTCCCCGTTGTCTTTCATCCACTTTCTGGCCAGCTACCTGGAATGGTCCGGTCTGTTGATGGGAACACTCTCTCTGGATGGATTCCACCTGGTTCGAGCTGCTGCACAGGGTGATCCATCATGTCTTCCAGGAAACTAAGGGATGGGTTCTGAAGAGGAGCATGCCGGCGTTTTTTGGGGTGCTCACTTTGCGGCTTTTGGGCTATTTCGCCAGGCGAAGCTGCTGTGCTTTTATGATCACCCGTAGTGACTTTGTTTCTTCCGGGGAACACTTGTTTTTTCCGAAGCAAACAGGGGATATCTGCGCACAGGAGCTCTGGCAGTTCCGTGAAGATGGAGGCTCTCACTTGGTTTCCTTGGGCGTAGTTACACCAAGTTGCAATTTTGCGAGTGTCCTAAAGCAAGGCCTTGAATGCAGCGTTGTGCGGCATGCCAAGAGCTGCGAGATCTAGAGGAATCAAGGCCAAAAGCCTTGCCTCACTTCCCGGAATTGAAAAGTTCAGAGGGGAAATATTACATTGCTTCACAATGCCTTTGTGTGAAGGACTTATGTGGGACATTTACTTGGAGAGTGGGCAAGTGCTTCCCTTTTTGTACCGGCCGCAACCTACGGCAACTTGCATATTTTGGCACCAGTGCTCTTGATGAGGTGCAGTAATCTTTTTCTGCCATAGGGCGGCTCGGCCATCACTCCCGTGATCTTTTAGTGGCCGCCTATTGGTTTTGTCGAAGTTGTTTTGTCTTCTCCGCATTACGATGCGGAGTGCCGTCTGAAAGATTCGATTTTCATCTAGCTTGAAATTTTGCAGTAGCTTTACCGAGTCGTGAACTAGCCGGCACTGCGAGGTAGGAGGCATATTCAAGATGCCGCTGGCAGCGAAATTACAATAAGGACGCAAGAATTGGCCGGACTACTTGGCAGTTAGGGTGAATGGCACTTCAGGCGGGCATAGCCAGGCTGTGTAGGTCAAAGAGTTCGGGTATAGAGCTTTTGGAGGGACTGTGAGAACAGAATGTGGCGATGGCACGAATTAGCCTTTTAATTTGTCACGTGCGAGTATAGCTCCAGCTGAGTGCCTCTCTGTCGGGCGCCAGAGACATGGAAGTGGAAGCATTACTGCCTTCGGCGCCATCCAAAGCCCTTCGGCGTTTGCTGGTCCTTCACAATTATGCGGGGGGAAGTATCACTCGTACTGGACGCTGCAGCTCCTCTATTGACGTTAGCGTATTAACTAAGTATTTTGCCTTATACGAAGTTACTGCCGTCTCTGGTAGCTGTAGAGGCCTGCGGTCGACAGTAGGCTGCTCAGGGCCGTGCGGGAGCCGCTGTCTCGCGGTGATAATACAAATGCACTCCTTCTTTACTCTAAAAAAAGTGTTTCGACTTAACTGTTTATTTACGAAGGAAGATAAATTTGCACATAGTTGACCGCAGCAGCGCGGATCATCATCCAGCTGGCGTACCGAATGCCGTTCAATCTCCGCAGCAGCCAGACCGGCGCCGAACCGATTCATGAAATCTGGCAGATCTGAACAGTTCCCTAAGAAAATGCTGCCAAAATAAATGCAGCACATCTAAATGTCTGTATAAATAAGGCATTTAGTGGATGAGAACCCGAGTTGCGGCGGACAACCCGCCAGCTGTGACTGTGTAGCTTGCGGCAGTGGCCTCGGCCCTGGTCAGTTGACTCGGTTGTGTGGCTGCCTCAACAAAAGGTCCCAAAAGTACCTTTTGTTTCCACCATACTTGAATATTCGAAGATAAACTTGCGTGGAAGACTAGCTGAGAGCTCGTTTTATATTGAACATACAGGAGGGAGGCTTGACTGGCCCTCTTCCCATGAGCCCCACTTCAGACAGAGACGGCTGACTGAGGACAGCCTGGAGCTTGCAGGCTTGAAAAGGCCACAGTTCAAGCCCTCTTGAATTCCTTTGATTGGGGAGGCTCTTTAGATTCTGTTATTTTCGCTGCCACCGGTCCGTCTGTGCAGTGCCTGGGTTTCGGGGCCTCCGCACCTCGACAATATTGATCGACTTCGCGGCTTCTGGAGAAACCTGAGGCGGTTTCACTCATTTATGAATAGCCTCTAGGGACTGAAGTATTGAAAAAGGCACAGCCTGGGTCAAAGGAGCTGCCTCCTGAGTGGTTCTCAGCCGTCTGGTGCATTGGCTGCCCTCCTCTGCCAAGATGCAGAGCTACAGGCCAGTGAACGCACTCTCTATGTGCGCAGCAGTGTTGGCACTAAGTGGCGGAGAAACCCACGGGTTTATGGTGGGAAGAAGGGCATCTTATCAAGGCTCTCAGCCCATGGAGATGCCGCGCAAAGAAGCAGTTTCCCAAGCAACCTCTCTGTCGCCGTACGACGCAGACGAAGGCAGCATGCAGCTGCAGCCTCCGATCTTTGACAGTCAGGAAAGCTCCTTCGTCGAGGCTTCTGGAGACGAAGACAGCGACGACAGCGACGATGACGACGACGAGAAAGACGAGGACAAGGGAAAAGGAAAAGAAGAGAAAAAAGAAGAAGAAAAAGCCGAAGGCCACGGAGGCGGCCACCCTCCAGGAGGCCACCCCAAGCCCGAAGGCGCAGGCAAAGGCAAGGAGGAGGCGGGCAAAGGAGAGGGAGGAGAAGCCCATGAACACGAGAAGGAGGGAGGCGGGCCGAAGGGCCACAAAGAGAAGAAAGGGGGAGAAGAAGAGGAAAAAAAAGAAAAGAAAAGGGGACTGCAACATCCACATTCCGAAAACCTCCTCACCAGCCCTGAAGAGCAGTCCAAGTTCATAAGAACTTCCTTCGAAAAGGCAACTTCCCAAAGCGTAAGCTTTAGTTGCACGCGGAATGCCTATTGGCTTTGCTGATCTTTGTTGCCACAGCCCCGCACTAATCTACATAAGGCATTTTAACAGTACTTTATATCGTTTTATTTACTTTTTTCTTTATTTTCCCCCTTTTGGCGTGCGTTTCAGTACAAGGCAATGAAGAAACTAGTGAAGGTGATGGATTTCCTGAACGGGGTGGTTGCTCTTTTGAACCAAATTATTCAACTAGCGCCCCCCAGCGCGCCCTTCTCCGACACAGTAATGTTAGAATCTGGGGGAAAGAAGTTGTCGCTGAGGGCGCTTCTTGATGAAGCCACTGGAGTGCGCAATAGTGTAGACAATCTCTTCACAACTTTGCTGTCGGCGAAGCACTTCATCATCGGCAGCATCAACCGCGCCATTCCCGCCAGGCCAGTGGCTCCTCCAGGCAAATAATAAACCCTCGAAAGTGCCCAATAAGTTGAATTCCAAAAAATTAAAGCGGGCCGCCCGGCGGCGCCGCCGTGTAGATGAACTCTCCTCTTCTGCAAGTTCAAGAAACAGGCGCCGGCCTGGCGCCTCGCGGGCGAGGAAAATTTTTTTTCATATATTGAATATTGAATTCCAAGTTGAACTTCAACTGCCAGCATAAGTCGGGGGCAAAGGAAACAGCGCACTTCGCATTTCAACTTCACCGCGACAGTCCATTTAGGCGCGACCCTCAGGCGCAGCAGCAGCGTCCCATTTACAGCCGGCAAAACGGGCAGCAAACAATTTGAAGGGAAAGATGGGCTGGGCAAAGCCCGTGGGCAAACGGGCAGCTCCCAGCCTATTGTTTCTGTGCGTTTGAGACGCAATGAGCCTACAAAATCCCCTTTTCTTTTCAAAAAGGAGCGTGGAACAAGCAGTGCACCCTAACTGAAATCTATTTATGTCCTTTTCGCCAGTAAAGATGGCGCAGAAGCGGGGAACTACAAGCCAGCCCCCCACTTCCAGCTGTACGCGCTGTAAGCCCACACAAACTCACTCATTCGCTTTCTGCCTGTAGCCCGCAGCACTACTGTCTAGCAAAACTACTAGTTAGCCGGTTTTGCTGCACAAAGAGCAAAGGCTAATTAGATGGGCGAACAGCGAGGATCCTGACCACTCCGCAGCTCTTTAGTGCCACTAAGCTCAACTGCAGCAAATGCTATTGTTTTACACACCCGAAGAGCAACAAAAGAGCACCGGCATTGACTTGTGCGCTCATCCATGAGGCTTCACCCTCTGAAAAGCCTTTCAGCTTGGAGGGCTGATGCACCTACGCAGCCGCACCGGTAGAAACGGTGAGGCCCCGTATGACGGAATTGGGCGCTAATTAATGTATGAAGAGTTACTACGGGGACCTGGGTGAAGACAAGGTGGCTGAATACCAGACACATTGTCAACCTTGTCAAGTACCCGACGTTCGCTTCATATAGTCCAAGCGCTGTCCAAAAGAGTAGGCAAACCGAAAAGCATGAGCAGCAACAGCAAACTCCGACTTTAAAAAGGTGAATTTTATCGCGAATTTCGTGCATATCAAGATTCATTTCGTCCCTTCTACACGCACAAACAGGACGCCAGAATGCTGCTCGTAGGCGCCACCACGAACCCACAAGCTACACTGTCAGCTGGGATCTTCATTGTGACCGTCATGTGACACAAAAAATACTTTTTGAAATGTTTTTGCTTCGTTTTTGGCGCTGTTGGGCGCTACCTGTGGGGTGCTAAGGCGGCAAGGCGGCGACGTAGCTGGACTGCAACATGGGGCTTTCGCTTCCCCAGCCCCGTCACTTTCTGAATTTCCAAGTCCTTAATTAATCTCGATTAAGTTTGGTAAGTGAATTTTAGCGTCATCTGGAACACTTTTATTCTATATGGCTGGGGGAAATTACGGGTGCACTTGCTGGTTTAATTCTCAGGGGAAATGAATAAGACGAATGAAACTTCCTTCGGATCTGTTATTGTGCTACCCTGCAGTGCTCAATAAACAATAACGGCATTTTGGGACGATTGCGTTGCTCATTTGCCCTGGTGGAGAGCAATGGGGCCCAATTGTCCCTGCTCCTCTCATGATGTAACACGCATATAAGGGAAAGAAGGCTTCGTAGACTGTGCAGTTTTGCAGCAGCATGTAGGGTCTATCTCATTTGACTACAAGGGGGAACTTTAAGAAAGTCAGCAGCATGCTTGAGACATAAATGTGCAGTGTATACGGCAATAAACTGTAGCTCCGCTTACCGTGTGGAGCGTTACAAAGAAGGTGAATCAGCGGCGCCCACTGCACACGGGAAAGAATCAGCCAGTGCTGCTTTCTACGTTGCTACTGCTGCTGCCTGTGCCTGTAAAGGTGTTGAGGTCTTCGCGAAAAAACGCATACCACACACCGTGGGTGAGTTGTGCCTCATAAAAGTGTCCTGCATCACTTCAGCAACCCGTTAAGCAACAGTAGACAGCGGGCCATGCTGTATAGTTGTGTTCGCTCAGCGCAAATAGTTTGAAAGAAAGATGTTCAGATGTCCGTATTCTGTGGTGATGCGGGAACCGGCTTTTCCAGATGATCATGTAAGCAAACAGCATTCCGTGTACGAACTACACTATCATCGAAGTGCCTGACAGCAGGGTATACGTGTGACCTCCTCTTGAATATTTTTCTGGGCTGAGGTGTAGAGCTAGTGCAGGCAGCACATAAAGCTCTGCTCCTTCTGTAGTCCCGAAAAGTACTTTTTTTCCATTTTACAACACCTGTAGAAAACAAAACAAGCAGATGGTGCTATCAAACTTTGTTGGAATTTTTTAGGGAACTGGCGATTTAAGCGGGATAAAATTAAGGGGTTTTCACTTGGGTTGTCACTGTGAGTAAGGTGGAACATCTCCTCACAAGGAAGGCTACCGAAACAGCTGCAAGTGCGGCTGAGCTGCTAGCATGCATGCTAGTGCACCATTATGGCCTGCCTAATGCCGTTATTTCGTAATGGATACTTCACTTGAGTTCTTTGAGAGGTTTTCCTCAACAGCCTTAAGATCAAAAGAGCCTTTTCCTTCCCTAGACAAACAGCCATACAGAAAATGTGCATGACATACTTGAGTGTGTGGGAGAGACACATACGCGTAACTGGAACAAGCCTGAAGCCATATACTGAAAGGCTCAGAAATTTATAGAGAATTACGTTGTTGATAGTACTGAATAGGGAAAGCATGGTTCGCAGCAAGCTGAGAGTTTTTGTTAGATGCTAAAACGGTGATTTCTCTGCTAGTGCCAAAGGCACTCCAGTAGTCCGTGATGCGGGTAGCCTCAATTGGCCCAGAAGCATAAACAACACAAAAGCTGCGAAGACGCCTTAGCAGGCGTTTGACGCTTGGTGCAAGTATCAAAAAAAGCTTGTCGAGCAGCATGGATGAGCAAAGCTTTTGTCCTGGTACGTTAGCCTTCAGAGACTCTCATTAAATCTGTCCACCACATTGCTTTGCTACTTTGCATGACGCCACACTCCATTTTCTAAGCTCCTTAGTTGCAGAAAGACGTACCGAACGCAGAACAGATGCCGCAGCCATCTGCTATGCAGCGTGAGATTGCCGAATTGAAATACTAGACAAGCTTTTACCGTGCAAGCTCATACACTTTTTCTTCAAACCCGTGTGCTCATACATTCCCCATAGGATTCCTTCTTCCCCAATCAATTTCCGATTGACCTGACGCGATTTACAAGCGTCCTTGTGTCCCTGTCTTTCTATAGTGTTGCAACATGGTCCCCGCAACTGTGCAGTTTATGCGGCTCCATTATTTCGTATTTCAATGCTTTTTTTGTTCATTTTGTCGATGCTCAACTGGGCCCTTGTTGTGCTGGTATCCCCTCTGCAGATTCCCCCGCTGCGCAAATGGCCCGGCTATTGAGGTGGTGGATATCCTACTTCAAGGAGACAAACTCCTTCTGCTGCCCTAGTGTGTCTTTAATGTATGAGCTGGTGTTTATATGCTCGGGGATGTTGCCCATTGCGGGCCGCAGAAGAGTAAGTAATGCTTACTTTAACGGCGCGCGCGCGGATCATCAAGGGCAAAGCTTGATAGTCTCATGCACTTCAATTCACAACGGCAGCTTTTTTTGTTTCTTGGAGAATAAGCTCTTTTCGTTGGCGTTGGATAGCTAGGACGCGCTGGGCGCGTTGTGCCATCCAGCAACCTGGTAGTACGCAGCACTACAACGGAGCCCAGAAATTGCCCCAAGGATCATAGACTTGACTAACAACGGCTCCACAGCATTCTGACAAGCCAGCCCCAGCCGAAATGAACCACGATCATATAATTCTGACCATTTGCATTTGCATTGACACAATAACTAGAAGTAGATACCATACAAATGGAACTAGCTCCTTGACAAGCGGAACCAGCTTGCGCTGTCAGGGCCTGCCTCTTGGAATGCCATGAGACGCTAAAGCTGCAGTGCACAGCACGGTCACAGAGTGAGCGGGCAGCATCCGGAAGAAAGCAAATGTATTTCTCTTCTTTATCCACCTAGAATAATGCGTTTTGGGGCACTCAGGCGTGTAATGGTGTATTCAGTGAGTAGTGGTTATGCACCTGTGTAGCCAAAACAGAAGAGACGCGTAGGGGCCAAGGCGGGCCTCGGTCTCTACATAGCACTCGTCTATGCTACGCCTCTCATGGAAAAAGTTGTTCTTAAGACACATAGTTAACCTTTAGGGTTCCAAAATGTTCCAGTTACTCTGTACACTTTTGTTGATGCATGGAGCGACTCTCGATTTTCTTGTTTGTCAGTATCCTCGTAATGGAAAGCAGCTGCGGGTCAAAGACGACGAAAGAAGCAGCAAACCTTACGCTGTTGCCTAGTGAACAAGGCACCAGCTAAGGGGGCACCAAAAACGGGACTAAAAGGCCATTCTTTTACTTGGGAACGAACGGGATTTTGCTCTGCGTTATAGTAGGACTAGGCTGACGAGAGTGGTAATGCTTGAGCTCAAGGGCGATACAGCTATACTAGTAGTGTAGGGGAGTAATCGCGAGCAGAACAAAGTGGCTCAAGTTGTAGCACATTACTTTCTAATTGGGGTTAGTGCAAAATCTTCCACTCCCAGTCTAGTATTGTGGCTGAGCTTGAGACAGCTTTTGGAGTAACCAAATTATTTCATTAGCAACCCTGTAATTCTGCATGAGGCGAGAAGCGCTCTTGCCAATGATAACCAACAAATGTTAAATTTTTATGAATCACTTACACGTAAAGTTCAAATGTTTTTTGCGGATCCCTATTGACTTCTGGTCGCTGGTTCTTTAACTGCCTAGCCACTTAAGTATCTCTGCTTCTGTCGTCCTTTCTTTTACCACAAACGAGTTATTCAGCAACAGATAGCTCATAAAGAACTAGTAGCATGCCTATAGAGAGCCTTCAGGAGCCTTCCGAAGCAATCCGGTGTCCCAGAAAATACAACTGCCAAAATTTTTTGCTGCCCTTCCTAGCAATATTTATCAGGAGCAAGCATCCCTACAGAAATCAACAACCACTTTAGAGACTCACCGGGCAAGATGCAAGCATTCGAGGGACACGCTGGTAGCTGAATCACAAGGCAGTTTTCATATAGCGAAGCCAGACGTTTTGCGCTGGAAAAGTTCAAGCTCGTGGTAAGTGGAAGAGAAAGCCAATAGCAGCACTGCTAACTTACAGAAGTATTCTGCTGAGTATCAACCCAGAGTGAGAAGATGACAAGCCAGGAAGGAGCTTCTTAACACTGACGGAATGTATGCAGTGAGAAGCAGGAAAGATAAGTGCGCAGGTAGGCCTGCTTCTTGCTTACTGGGCCTACAAAGCCAGCAGAAAGTATGTCCCAGCACGCTCATTGGATGCGCCTCTGCCTAATATTCCTTCATCGCCGTTACTGTAGTAGGGCACTTTATTTCTATCCTGTGGAGAGCCCTTACCCTACGCCGATGGGCTAAAGTTATGTCATCAAGCCACTAAGGCATCAAAATCAACACGGCGGAACCAGGTTCCAAGCCCATTTTAAGCATTTCCTTGCAGGAATGTTTTGACTGAAGACCGTTCTAAAGACGGACAGTCTACAGTGTGGCTAAGTCGAAGATGAATGAACCAGAAACACTGCCATAACATCATGCACATGGGCTTGATTGATCCAGAAGGCTCACTTCTTCTCCTGAAGTATGAGTTTCACTTGACACATTTTTACGCACAGGATGAAGAAACTGGTGTGTTATTCTATGTCCCGCGCAGTACAGTCTCGCCACGTTAGAGACTCCAGGGCTAAAGTTCTCATGCAGAAAGGGAAGCTATATGGGATACTCTGCTTCTGATTGCCGCACGCATTGTGGGCTTGTGAGCTGAGCGAGCACTCAAAGACATTTTAGACAGAATGCTTGTGTAGTCTGGGTTGTACTGACACTGAATTCAGATGCAGATTTCAGAGTTTCTGCGGCGCATCTGTCCGTGATTAGGCCCTTTTTGTCTTATTGTCCCGGCCTTGTTGCAAATGCCGACTGTACTTGTAATTATTCATCCGCGTTCGCTGCTAGCTTTCTACTGCAGCCGCCATCCCTCCTGGGTGGCTATGCCTGAAGGCTCCGCGGCTTCACGCGCAAAGCCACAACGCGCGAGCAGTCTCCGCTGCACGAGCAGCAGCAGCAAGAGCTTCCGGAGACATTAACTCGCCGAGAAGGAGTTTGAACTAGACAGTGTGCACTAACGCAGCTTTTCCAGGCTGCGAATTAGTGGAGTCTTTGCCGCCAGCGCAGCGCAGGGGCCGCGGGCTGCAAGGGAAGGAACTGCAGGCGGAGGCTTCGAAGGCTTTGGTGGGCTGGGCGAAGAGCCCGCGTGCGCAGGTGCAGCGTGGAGGACACAGAGGCCAGCGTAGGCCGTTGGGACTTGTGCGCTGGAGGGAGTCGGGTTTGTGTGCAGAGGGCCCGCTGGGCGGGGTGTTTGGGGGCAGAGAGTTGGGGCAAAGGCCGGGTGTGTGTGGGGAGATATTGGGGGCTTTGGCGGGAGACTGGCGTGGCTGCCCCGGCAGCTTGTGTGTGACAGGCGCAGGTGGCGGGCTGGGGGCTCGGGGAAATGCAGTGGTTTGGTGCAGGAAGATCACAAATGGGTGCAACTTGGAATAGTCCGAGGCTTTAATGAATGCAAATAGGTCTTTTGCTGCCAGCTGCACCTGCTGCATGTATCTAGAAGGAGAAACACCCACCCCCACTGCGGTGGCGCTGCGCGGCGTCGGGGTGGGCCGCCTGTGTCTTGTAGGTAAAATTTGTTTTCTCGTTTGTGTACAATTTTCTTGTCGTTTCGTGACTTTTGGCGGCTCAATGCCGTGAGTTTGTACTTTCGTCCTTTCCGCAATTGCCAGTTTCTTCTTCCGTTCCGAACGGCACTGTAGATACACCCGCGGCGACGGGCTTGGTTGCCAGTTGGATGCACGCGCCGCGCCCGAGTTGGAGAGCCCTCAGTCCCAACTCTTGTCCTGCAATTTCGTGCAGAAAGTGATTACTTTATTGTTTGTAACGTCAGTTATTCGCGTGGACCCGCTGCGCTGCGGGAGAGGCGCTCTGTGGTCGGCTGGCGCGGGCCGGCGTACGGCCACTTTGAACGCGGGGATCTAACCACTTTGCCTCCAATATCTCGTCGTTTGTCACTTCTTTTCTGTGTTTTTATTTCCTGAATTTGTTTATTTGGCCAGTAGAGCCGCGGTGTAACTCCACCTCGCCACCCCGGGGGGGCCGCCGCCCGCCGTTGCGCTTCCGTGCAACCTTCACAACATTGACTCTTTGCCTCCCCAGTTCCTCCTTTTCTTTGTCTCCTCCTCAAACCCTCAACTTGCTGTAGATATGCCTTTCCTGTAGCCATCGCTGCGGCCTCTTTCGTGGGCGTTTCTTTTCCCGCTGCGCTGCCCGGCCTCCCCGCCTGCTGCTGCTCCTCCCGCCCCTGCAGCCACGCCCAGCAGCAGCAGCAGCAGCAGCAGCAGCACGCGCAGCTGCAGCGGGGCAGCGGACGCCCCGCGCGGAGGCAGAGACACACGGCTGGCCCGCGAGCTGCAGCTTCGCGCTGCTGCTGCTGCTTTCCTTTTCCAGCCAACTGCCACAAACTCTTGCCTTTTCTACGGCTTGCTGCTGCTTGCTGCTGCTGCTCTTGTCTCTGCGCGTCTCCCGCCATGTCTGCCGCCTGCCACCCCCCGCCGAAGCTGCTGCAGCCGCAGCAGCCGCTGCAGCCGCTGCAGCCGCAGCAGCAGCAGCAGCAGCAGCAGCAGCACTGCCAGGCCGCCTCCTGTGGCCCTGCTGCTGCTGCTGCTGCATGCAAACGGCCCCGCGAGGCCCCCGAGCTGCCGCCCGCTTCGGAGGTCTCTGCTGCTTCTTCGGGGGCCCCCTGGCGCCGCCCGCTGAAGCAGTCGCGGCCCCAGGGCCTTTGCGCTTCGGGGGCCCCTGCGGGGGCCCCCCCGGGGGCCCCTGCGGGGGCCCCTGCAGCGGCTGTGGGGCTCTGCGAGGGGGCCCCGGGGGGGCCCCCTGGGGGCCCCCCTGGGGGGCCCCCTGCTGCTGGGGCCTCGTCTTCTGGGGCGGCGTCGGCGGAGTCCGGCGCAGGCGCTGCTCCTTTTTCCGGGCTGTCTGCAGCAGCAGCAGCAGCAGCAGCAGCGAGCCGGATGGGCGCGCGGCTGCTGCCGCCTGCGTTTGGGGCAGCAGGGAAGAGCAGCAGCAGCAGCAGCAGCAGCAGCAGCAGCAGCAGCAGCAGCAGCGAGGGGGTGCGTGGGCGTGCAGTGTTGGGCCTGCGCGGGGGCAACGAGGGTCTGGGGGCCCCGCAGCCGCCGCAGCAGCAGCAGCAGCAGCAGCAGCAGCAGCAGGAGGCGGCGGGCAGCAGCTCGGCGTGCGTGGGGTGCCCGAGCAAGGCGCTGGCCGCGGAGGACCCCCGCAGCAGCAGCAGCAGCAGCAGCAGCAGCAGCAGCAGCAGCAGCGGCGCGCTGGGCGCGCCGCTGCACGCGCAGCTGCTGCTGCTCGAACGCCTCATCATTGCCCACGTCTCCCCCTCAGGCAATATTGCTGTTGCTCCCACTTCGGAGTTGGCGGAGAGTCTTTTGAACGTGGCTTACCTCTTCGCCACGGCCCACTACCGCGCGGCCCTCCGCAGCGCAGCAGCAGCAGCAGCAGCGGCCCCGCAGCAGCAGCAGCAGCAGCAGCAGCAGCAGCAGCAGCGGGAGCGGCGGCGGGAGGGCGAGGGCGCGGGCGCGGAGCCCGCGCCCGCGCACTCCGACACGCAGCAGGGAGGCCAAGCCCGCAGCAACGCCCAGCAGCAGCAGCAGCAGCAGCAGCAGCAGCAGCAGCAGGAAGGCGGGGCGGGCGCCGCGAAGAAGAGCGACGCGGCGCAGCCAGCAGCAGCAGCAGCAGCAGCAGCAGCAGGAGCAGCAGCAGGAGACGTGGAGGAGGCGAATCCGTTTGCTGCAGCGCTGGTGTGCAGGGGCGCGTCGCCTGCTGTTGCTGCTGCTGCTGCTCTCTCGCTGCGGGTGAGCGGCAGCAGCCGCGTGGACGTGGCCCGCGAAGTGGCGCAGCTGTTCGTGCGGCTCGCGCTGCTGGACAGCAGCATAAGTCTGCAGTTCAGGCCCTCGACTGTTGCTGCTGCAGCAGCACAACTGGCCATGTTTCACTCGGGGGGGGCCTCTGGCTTCCCCCCCGTGCTGCAGCAGGCCCTCGGTGCTGCTGCTGCTGCAGTGGTGGCCACGGGCGGCAGCGCTTCCTTCCGGCTGGTGCGGCGCTGCCAGTTCTTGATGCTGCAGAAGTGGCTCAACGTCAAGCGCGTGCTGCTGCTGCAGCGCAGCAGCAGCAGCGGGGCCCCCGGGGGGCCCCCCGGGGGGGCCCTTGGGGGGCCCCCCGCTGGAGACTTCCTTCCAGAAAGACTTATTGCGGAGTGGGTGCAGCGCAGCCTCGTGCTGCCGCACCACCGCCGCGTGCTGCTGGCAGTGCAGCAGCACGCGAACAGTTTGGTGCGCTGCCAGGCGCTGGCGCGGCAGCAGCAGCAACTCCACCACGGGCCCCACGGGCCCCACCACGCGCCCTGGCCCCACGCCCTCAAACCCAAACAGCTGCCCGACAAAGACGCAAACGCCTGCCTAGACCCGCAGCAGCAGCAGCAGCAGCAGCAGCAGCAGCGCCAGCAGCAGCAAGCAGTCCACACCTAGCTCCTGACCGCCGCAGCGAAGCGACGGGACGCGGCAGACAGAACGAGGTTACCAGGAGAGCCAGGGAGGCCTGCCCTGCTGCTGCTGCTGCTGCTGCGGCAGCAGCAGCAGCAGCAGCAGCAGCGGCAGCAGCAGAGAGCCAGGAACGGCGGAAGCGAGACGCGGCGGCTCTTGCATTTGTGTTTGCTCTATGTGGGGAGTGTGTGTCCTTTGGGGGCAGCAGCAGCAGCAGCAGCAGCAGCGTCGCTGGGCTGCTGAAGCTTGCTGCGCCCCCGCCTGACTCGTTGTGCGTCAGCAGCGCTGCCGCTGCTGCTTTGCAGCAGCAGCAGCAGCAGCAGCACTGCTGCTGCTGCTGCTGGAGGTGTGGGGTGTCTGGGGTGTTGTCGGCTGTGTCTGTGAGCCCCGGCGCGCAGCGCTGCGGTGTACGTACACCTGCGCGCCGCCCCCGCGCCCAGCGGGGGGCTTCTTTCTTCACTTTTAGTTTAGTTAGGATTCGAGATAGTGGCAATTAGTGCAAAAGCAAAGAAAGAAAAGAATGAAAAGAATGAAAAGAAGCAAAAGTGGCGGCGCTGCTGCCCTCGGCTCCGCCGGGGGCCCTGGAACGCGGGGTGTACGTACACCCCGTCGCCGCCGCCGCGCCCGCGGCCCGCGCCCACGGGGTGTACGTACACCCCAGGGCTTTGCATGCGGGCTTTGTGTCTTTGGGCTGGCCCAGGGCCTGCGGCGGCTGCCCAGCTAAATAGGGAAAACAGCTATTTCTCCTAACAAAGTCTGACGACTCCCAGCTAGCTAGCCAGCTAGCCAGCCAGCTAGCCACCCAACGCACCGCTAGCTCGACAGCTAGCCAGCAGCTAGCCAGCCACTCTCCAGCTAGCGCTGGCTCGCTCGCCAGCCGCTAGCCAGCGAGCCGGTTAGCCGCCAGCTAGCCAGCTAGCTGGCCAGCTGCTAGCTAGCTAGCTAGCTAGTTAACCGCCAGGTACCTAGCTAGCTAGCTGGCTACGCCTGGGAAAGCTGCTGCTGGCCCTTTCTTAGCTTCGTGCTGCAGCGCAGCGCCGCAGCAGCAGCAGCTGCCAGCTCGCCGCAGGGCTGCGGGCCGCGCAGCGGGCTAGCTAGCTACCTGGCTAGCTGCACAGCTAGCCAGCCCATGTGGCTAGCTGCGCGGCTACCTAGCCACGTGGCTAGCTGCACAGCTGGCTAGCCACAGCCCGCATACTCCGCGCCTTCCGCAGCTAGCTGCTGCGTCAGCCCCTCTGCGCCCGTCGCCATGCGATTTGGGGCGCCTGGCCGGCTAGCTAGCTAGCTAGCTACCTAGCTAGCTAGCTGGATGGCTAGGCAGCTAGCTGGCTAGGTAGCTAGGGGGCTAGCTAGGTGGCTAGCTAGCTAGCTAGCTAGCCAGCCGGCCAGGCGCGGCAGTCGCACAGGGAGGCTTGACTCCTGGGCGCCTGGGGCGCCGCCTCGCTGCTGCTGCGAAGGCAGCAGCAGCAGCCGCCTCGGCAGCCGTGGCTGCTTTGCTGCTGCTGCTTTGCTGCTGCTGCCTTGCTGCTGCTGCTTTGCTGCTGCTGCTCCCTGTAGATTTGGAAGGGTGTGGGGCCCCGCAGCAAAGCCGACCGGGCCCACAGCTGGCTGCAGCAGCAGCAGCCTTTTGGAAGCAGCAGCTAATTTGTCCAGCAGCACTTTGTGGGGTGGGAGCGCTCAGGTGTACGTACACCTCGCGGGCCTCGCCTCTGCGTTCGGGTGTACATACACCTCGCGCGAGCGCCAAAAGCCAGCCGCAATAATCTTCCACAGCATTTTTATTTATTTAAATTTATTTATTTGCGCTATGATCCAAGTCCAAACCCTAAACCCTAAACCCTCTGCAGCTATGCTAGCCCCAAACCCTAAACCCTAAACCCTAAACCCTAAGCATCCCACAACCCCGAAACTGTATACTGGAGCGAGACCAGCAAAGGCCCACAGAGTTGCAGCAAGGCCCTGGCTTTGCTGCTGCTGCGTGGGGCCCCACGCAGCAGCAGCAAGACCCTGGCTTTGCTGCTGCTGCGTGGGGCCCCACGCAGCAGCAGCAAGACCCTTGCTTTGCTGCTGCTGCACGCAGCAGCAGCAAAACCCCAGGGGCTACACAAGGGCCCCCCGAGAAGCAGCAACAGCAGCTGAAGAAGCCCTGCAGGCTTCCAGCGCCAACTCCGCAGAAAAGCGAACATCCACATCTTCATCTGCCGACAGAATCTCCAAAGGCCTGCACCACAAACCCTAAACCCTAAACCCTAAACCCTAAACCCTCGCGCCTGAGCCGCGGAACTGGGCCTCGCTGCTTCGCTGCTTGTCCCGAAACCCTAAACCCTAGACTCTTCCGCCCGAGCCACGGGGCTGGCCTCCAAAGCTCTGCTGCTCCTTCCCAAACCCTAAACCCTAAACCCTAAACCCTAAACCCTAAACCCGTGGGGAGCCAACCCTCGACTCCCGGCACGTACGGG